AATTTATATTACAAAAAACATATTCTGTATTAATAAGTTTAGAATATAGATTTTTTAAAAGTTTTTTTACTGAAAACTTTAAAAAGTTACTACTTTTTATTAAAAACATTTGCAAAAAATTTGTAGTTAAGGATTGGAGAACAATTTTTCATGTTACTAAATATTTGAATAAAAAGTTAAGCGTAAAATTAAATGTTATAAAAATGTATGATATGTCGCGATAAAAAGTTACTTTAATTATTTTTAACTTAATTTTTTTTTTCTAATAAATATTTTTACATATCGTTATTCAAAAGTAAATGTGGTTTTTTTAAAAATTAATTACTTCTTTTATGTTACCGCTAATTTAAAAGTTAAAAAATGATAAAAAGTAGCTTAACCAAAACAGCTCTACGCGTACGTAAAAATCGCTTAAGGCGTACGTAAATCGCTCTAGGCGTAACGCTTTAAAACAAGGCCTGATATATATATATATATATATATATATATATTATATAGTATATATATATATATATATATATATATATATATATATATATATATATATATATATATATATATATATATATATATATATATATATATATATATGTTAGGGTGACAATTTTTCTGAAAAAAAAAAAAAAATTAACACTGCATCTAATTCTTTTCTACATCCCTGAGTGATATTAAAACTGTTTTGGTTTTGTTTTAATGAGTAGTATTGGTGCTAGATGTAGAAATCAGATGATTTCATAATTAACCATAATTTCAAAATTTTCTTATGTCGTCAATATTTTTTTACTTCTTCAAAATGTATTATTTGGAAAAGAAAAATGTAATTTAATGTAGTTTAGCTTTTCATTCAATGAATAGAATAACATTGCCTTGCAAAATGTTTTACAGCAGTTTTGAATATTTTTAAACTGTTAACAAAACTATTAATAAAAAATTGTGCATATAGAAAAAAAGTCGTAGTAAACATAGTTTCAGGTAAGGTTTAATACAAGTATTATTCAGTTTTAACTTTTAGAATTTAAATTTAATTAATTGTTTTTCAATTAAATATAAATTAAAAGTAAGTATTAAACATTATTTATGTTATAGCCAACATATAGACACAAAGATGCAATCAAGTATTGAAAAAAAGGCGAAACATGTTAGACATCTGAATGTCAGTTGTAGGAGGCCCCTTTACCTTCTTAAATCTCTAATTTCTTTTTTACCTCTGAATCAGCTTCCAACAAATGGGTTACTTCTAAGACATCAATATTTAATCAACGGTAGATCAAAACGATTCAAAAGTATTTACGATTTTTCTTGTCCTATGGGATCAAATTTTAACATAAAATGCTAAGGAAAAACAACGCGTTATCAGGAAAATGGAGATTTGTGTCTTCTTAGAAAAATAGTGAAAATCTGGGAGTCTTGTGGTTTTAAAAACTATATTATTGGAGAGGATAAAATATTATCAAAATTTGCAAAACTTCACAAAAAATGGGTATCAATGACCAAGGGAAAGTTGCTAGTTTGAAAAAAATGACACCAAAGAAAAGTTAGTTGAAGAATTTCAAGCAATCATGGAGACTCTTTTTAGCATTGGAAAACCCAATATTAATGACCTTATACAACTCAGTCAAGATATGCCAAGAAACAAAGACAGTAAAAAGGAAGATTTAGCAGTTTTGGAAGATCAGAAAAATGCTAGAAAACAGTTTATAAGCAGGCGTATATATAAAGAAGTTGAAGAAAAGATTGTACGTAGACAAGAGAGATAACGTAGATACATAGATTATAAGAAAAAAATGTCAATAGAGACTGAATATTATAATGACGAGAACAACAATTACTCAGATTTAGAAGATTTAGTAACCTCAATTAAAAATGCTGATGGAAATTATTCAAATGAGAAAAAATCAATATCTGAATCAGGTAATTTGTATCATGAAAAATCTAAATTGTATATTTTACATGTGTATTGTATATTACTTTATAGAATAAACTGTGAGTGTACTTTTTCATTTTCATTTTTTGTTAATATTATTGAAGATAAATTTTTGCTTGCAATACTTTCAAATCTGGCATTGATGGTAGGTAATACTAATTATAATTGTGATGAAGATGAATATTAACAAAAAACATCAAACAAAGAAAAGAAAAAAAAAGAAAGTTAATGACATTCCAATTATGCTTTGATCCGATTCAATTCTTGTCAATAAAGAAATTACTTGAGATGGCCTAATTGCACTTACAACTCCTCTCAGTGTAAGGACCAGTTTAAGCTACCAAGATCAAACAATGTTTATAGCTGGTATTATGAACTACCTTGGAGTAAATATGAAAAAAATTAAGATAAATAGAGAAACAGTCAGATTGAAGCGTTATGAGATTTTTCAAAATCACGGAAATGAAATTAGATAGAATTATCAAGGAAATGAGAGAAAAAAATCTTGTTCTTCACTTTGATAGCAAACTAGTTACACACTTGTATAAGGAAATCCAACAAACAGTTACAAGAGATAGAATTGCTGTGTCTGTTATTTGTCCTGAATTTCAACACAAGGGCGATCTTATTTTAGGAATTGTTCCAAGTGACGCAGGTAAACCATCTGATCAGGCTTTAGTAATTCAAAATTTGTTAGAATATTTTGAAGTTTCAGACCAAGTATTTGCTGTTTGTGTTGATACTACAACAACCAACAATGGTAGGAAATAGGGTGCAATTATAATATTGACAAGAGTATTTCAGAAACCTGTATTGTGGCTATTATGTCGACACCACATACATGAAATACATATTAAACATATTTGCAAATCAATCAAAAATTTTGTCCCATTTTTATCTACTTATGGTGTCTCTACTAGTTTTAAAAAGTTTGATGAGAATGCTCTCATAATTGGTTCTGGAATTCATCAAATGTACTTGGAGGTAAAAACATATATTAAATTTGTTCTTGAATTTAAGATTTTCCCCTGAGATAATTACAGACATCTTGTGGAATACTTAGTTTTCTATCTTAATATTCAGTCTGACAAGCTAAAGAACTTAAGGATTCATCAACCAGGTGCCTGTCATGAAGCTAGATTTACGGCAGATGCATTATATCACATGGCTTTGGAATTGACATTGCCAGTTATAAAATACTTAAATCAAGACCAGCAGATTCTAGTATCTAAAATTTGTCTAATGATTGCTGTATTTTATGCTCCACGGTTTTTAAAATCCAGTCTTGCTGAACATTCAGTATTGGATGACTTCAATTCATTCAAAGTAGCAAAAGGCATAAAGGAGGAATGGGATATTGATGTAGGAACTTCACTTTTAAATTGTTTAAAATCTCACTCCTGGTATCTTTCGCCTAAAGCAGTAGTCATGGCTCTTGCTGATTCTGACCTTAAAATTCAAATAAAGTCTGAAAATTTGACTTGTTGGAACACGAGGTTCCTGACATTAGTGAAATTAATAAAGAAAAACCACTTTCTGTTTAGATTTTCACTTCCTAATAGATGAAAATACCAAACTTTGTGAACTTATTACCTGTGAAAGCTGGCTTCATTTTGTCGTTTTGGACTTAGTAAAGGAAACAAAGATTTGGTTGGAAGCATGCCAGAATAAAGGTTTAGAGTCAATACCCTTGTACAAGAAATTTGTCCTTTTTATTAAACAACTCAGTGTCACAAATGATTGTTCTGAAAGAAACATCGGACTTATACAAAAGTTTGTGAACTCTTCAGACTCTGAGGATCAGAGACAAAATATTTTGCTAGTTGTTTGAGAAAATCGAAACAGATTTCAAAGAATGTTTATCAAAAAGATTTTGTTAATTTGAAATGGATATTGTTATATAATGCTCTAAATGCAAACATGTTGTATTTGTTAAACTCTTTTTTTAATTATCTCAGTTTAAAGTTAATATTACAAATAATATAAAACAGTAATTATACTAATATTTGCTTTTTTACATACATTTTTTAAAATGTTGGAAAAAAATGATGAATATTTAAATTATTGAAAAAATATATCTATCTGTTCCAATGATCCTAGTAAGCTAAAGTTTTTAATATAAGCTAGTATATAGATGGAGAACAAGTATTTAAGCAGTCTATTTGCACTTTTTGAAAAAAGTGCAAAAAAATTGTCACCCTAATTTATATATATATATATATATATATATATATATATATATATATATAATATATATATATATATATATATATATATATATATATATATATATATGTATGTATGTATGTATATATTTATATATATATATGTATATATTTATATATATATAAATATGTATATATTTATATATATATATATATATATATATATATATATATATATATATGTATGTATGTATGTATGTATGTATATATTTATATATATATGTATATATTTATATATATATGTATATATATATATATATATATATATATATGTGTATATATATATATATATATATATATATATATATATATATATATATATATATATATATATATATATATATATATATATATATATGTATATATATATATATATATATATATATATATATATATATATATATATATATATATATATATATATATATATATATATATATATATATATATATATATATATATATATATATATATATATATATATATATATATATATATATGTATGTATGTATATACACACATTTTTTTTTTAATTTACATGTGATTTATGAAACAATTACTTTATTTTTATAAGATTTTTCAAATTAGTAAAATACTTTATGTGACAAATTAAATTAAAATTTTTAAACTAAGGCAATTGATTAAAATAGATTAAAACCATACAAGGTTTATTTAAAATCTTTTAAAATTAAAATCAACAAGGCTCATTAATACAAAAATATTTTGATCCATGACTTCATTTTGCCCTATTTTTGTTTTCTGTCTATAATTATTTTATCCATCATAATAGTTAGAGTACCTTTTTTAATAAATGCAAGCACTTTAAAGTTTAAAGATTATAAATTTTATAGGTCAACGTGAATCACAGATCAATCGAGCAACAGGTGAAGCAAATGCTATTATGGCCAAAGCTAAAGCACGCGCTGAAGCAATTAATCTAATATCTAATGCTTTAAATCAAACAGTAATATATTTTTTATTAAAAAGATGTTTTATAAATATATAAATGTTTTACTATATTTTGAAACTCAAAAATAAATAAATATATATATATATATATATATATATATATATATATATATATATATATATATATATATATATATTTTTTTATATATATATATTTTTATATATATATATATATATATATATATATATATATATATATATATATATATATATATATATATATATATATATATATATATATATATATACAGTCTTCTCCATTAGAAATTAAAAAAGTTCCAGATAACAAAAGAAAAACTATTTAAACAAATATTTTAAATTTTTCTCAAACACAGAAGGCCTTTCATATAAAATCTTCAGCTGTGTATGATTTACAAAACTATAAAAAACATTTTATATTGAACTCCCTATAAAAAGTTTAAAAAGAAAATAATTAAGGTTTATATAAAAAAAACTATAATTAACAATAATATAGCATAACTTGATTCTTGTTGGTAAGGAAATTTTAAAAGTAATGTAAAAATAATTACTTCCTGTTTATATATTCATTGTGTCATGTCCCTGTTTATGTAGGTGAGCTTCATAAATAAGAAGTAATTTCTCATTTAAAAGTTTTAACATTTAAAATAATTTTAAAAAAACTTTTGTTTTTATGGGAATTTAAAACATGCTGATCAAATTTATCTGAACATATAAACAGAAAGTAATTATATCCTCAACATTTATATATATAAATTTTGAGAGGTTTAAGAACTACTATTTGGGAAAAAATCAGGCAATTTAAGGTACTGGAACTTACAAGTTTGAACCCAGAGTAAGATAAGGAAATAAAAATTTTGATTTTTTTAGTGTCTTCCTTTGCTGCCAGGAGGCCTTAAATCATCATGTTTGTGTATTTTTATGCTTTTTTATTATTATTTAATTACTTAGTTGTTTATATAATTATTATAAATTTTAACTTTGAATTGTGTAAACTTTTTTTTTGTGGGCAATATAAATTAAATAGGAGATAAAAAAAACTTTTTTTGTCTTCGTTTCTTGCTTAAGACTTATTTTACCATATTTTTGCATTTTTAGTACTTTTTTATCGTTCTTAAATCTTAGTAATTTTTGTTCTAAAATTATTAAATTTTTTTTTAATTGTGATAAAAATTAGATGAAAGAAAAATAAAATCAAATTTTTTTGAGAATTTCTTTTTCTGGGGATTTTTAGGCTATTATTGTTATTTAATTATTAATATGATCATCAGGTTTTAAAATGTTTTTCAAAATAAAACTATGACTGTATTTATAAACCACTTTCCAATTATTTATTCGGTGAACAAGTAATTAAAGTGTGGTTTCTAACTATTTTTCTAATTATGTGCATTTTTTTGTTGTGATTTGAACATGCACTTTTTGAAATAATTATTTATTTTAGGCATTTTTAGGCTTTTTTTTTATCATTATTAAATTACTTAGTAATTTACTATTTATTAGCATATAAATTGTACTCAATGCAACAAAGGCATGGTACATTTTTTTCCAAACAAAAATATAAGTTTTTTCAATTACGATATATGTAAGTTTTTTTATCAAAAAGTATGACATATTTGGTATTTATGTAAAGCTTATTTTAACCACTATTTTTAACAAATTGTCAAGCTTAGTTTTATTTAGAAAAGATATAATTTTCAACAAAAAGTACCTTGCGGCCTGGCTATAGATAAGTCTATTAATTTGATTTTTTCATAAAAGCACATATTGGTGTTTGTTTTCAATGAATGTAACTTGACATTTATAATCAGACATTATTTGGGAAAATTATCCATAAAAATCCATTTTTATATGAAATTATTATTTTCAATACCACACCTAAATGAGTATGTTCAACAATAATGTCACGTTAGATTCAGATAAACTATGGTAGTGTTAATTTTTCTACAAAAGTCATTTTTGCATAAATAATCTTAACTTTTAGCCTAATTCAAAAAACTGTTTTTGGTATTTAGTATCATTTTTTGAAATACTCGGGACTTATTTGGCCTTCTTGAAAAAATAATTTATTCCATTCAGAATGAATAAACAATTAAAAAACAGAGGTGGTAAACTTTATAAACAAATTACTTTCATTTTCAAATTCATTTCGTTTTTATATCAGTAGTAAATCTTAATTGACATTTGGTTTCTTTTATTTTTAAAACAATAATTTAAAAGTAACATAAATTACTTTTAACTTATTGTTATAAAAACAATTCTATCTTTGAACACTATAAGTCAATACAAATAGCTATTATGGCTTCAGTAATTAAGTTAATTACTTTTTGTTATTAGCACAGTGCAAAATGAAATATATATTACATAATTTATTACAACTGCTTTAAAAGTAGCATGCTTTTTTAGAATATACTAACACAAATGTATTAAATTGTAATTAGGTTCATAAATTATATCATACAAACACTTCAAAATATTTTTATAATTATATTGATATATATCCTTCAAAACTGTTATAACAGACGCTTCGGTTATTTATAATATTTTGTCATTATTTACGATTTCTTTCTTTGCATAAATTAAATACCAATAAATAAGTTGTTTGGTTTGCCACTAACAACTAATCGGATTTGTTTAAAATTATCAGCTTTTTTTTTACGAGTTGGTTTGTTCTATGCCTTAGTTGCATTGAGTAATGGTTCTAACTAATTCATTATTTGTTTATTCTAAAATAAATTGTAGAAAATTTACTATTTATTAGTATATTAAAAATATTATATTAATAATATAAATAAAGATTACCAATATCCATATATACCAAATAATCTATCTTATATGGTTTATTGAATTTAAATCTATTTCTAGAATTCTGTTTTGTAAATTGAATAAAACTAAGTTTATATTTAGAAAATTAAAAATATTTTGATTTATGTGACAAACTATTGCTGTTACAAGATCGCAGCTGACTGTCCTGTTTATGGCATTGAATGTGAACTTACTACTCGCAAACTTCCAACTTTTCAAAAAATCATGCAGCACTATTCATTTATTAAATTACAACTTCCCGGGACTACCAAGTCAAGCACAGTAGACTTTTGGTTAAAATTTGGCATTACTGTTACAATGCAAAGAGTGCAGCAGAAAGTAGAATCTTTGCATAATAGTTTGGGAATAATTTTTTTGTTTGACATTGCAGCATGTCATTGTCTTAATTACAGTAATTGAACATGTCCGAAAAAACCAAAAGTGTCAAAACTTTCTTTTAATTTCAGCATGAGTTTTTAATGGATCAAAGGGATGAAAGTAATTTGATGGGGAAAAAGATAAAACTCTTTGTGCATTAGTGACTAGTAGTAAAAACATAATCACTGAGGAAAATATCACATTAATAGTAGATGTTTCTCCAGCATATACATTATCGACAAATATTGAGAATGCTATTATAACAAATATTAATAATGCTATTTTTTTTTTTGATGAAAACAAAATATCACTTGATAGCATGTTAGTTATTGGCACTGATAGAGCTAACGTTAATACTGGTATGAACAATTGTTTAATACGATTACTGGAACTGTTTTTGGAATATTCTGTTCAATAATTACTGTGTATGTTTCTTTTTAATGAACTACCAAGTTTTGTATTGCATTAATCTAAATGCAATACTAAATTTCTCAATTTAAATATAAGTGGTGCTAATTCTCAAACTTACTGCCAGACAGAATAACTTACCAAACATTCTACATGAGATTGTTATAATATTAGCAAAGATCAACATGTAATATTAGCAAATATCAACAGTATTTTTAAAACACGTGCAAGGCAATACAAATAGGCGAGGTAAAAGAAAGCTTAGTTAAAAAGCACATCAGTGCATTATAAAAGTAATAACACTATTATAGTGTTATTACCTTTGTAATGCAGTTAGTGACTTGAGTGTTATTACTTTTGTAATGCAGTTAGTGACTTAAGTGTTATTACTTTTATAATGCAGTTAGTGAGTGTTATTACTTTTGTAATCATAAGTTGTTTTGTTTTGTTTTTTACAACTTTTTTCCAAACAAATTTAATTTGCCTCTTAAAAAACAAAGTACACGGTTTTGCATAAACTAAAGTTTTGAAGACCAGATATTTTTCCAGATATCGCAAATTGCGATCGCTTAATTCAACCCTTGGAGTTGGAAATTAGTTAAGTATTATGTACCTCAAGACAATGCTTTTGCAGTTTATTGAATGAGTCGGAAAACAGTTGGGTATTGGGCTACCATTTTATTTTACTACTATTAAATGCATTAAAATGTAATTTAAAAACTAAAATAGAATTGTTTTTATTACTGAAAAAAATGTCTAGATTGTCAATATTCTTAAAGATAAGCCTTCTCTAATTTACATTTACAAACACAGTAAACTCTTTTAACAACTTCAATAAACTTTGAACAATCATAAATGTTTATATTTTGTTGGTAATTTCAAATTCTAACTGTCAAATCAGCTCAATCAAAATTTTTCAAAAGAAATCCTGAATTACTTCCAAGACTTGTGAATTACTTCCAAGATTTGTGAATTCTAGGAAGTGTGGCACTACAGAAATGATCAAGTTTTAGTTCTTTGGAAATTATCAATTCTCTTTGGTGTACTATCTGTTTCTACTTTCAGTTGTTTGTATGAAATTCTTTTCAGCGTGTTTACTTTCAAGTTATCTTTTCTAAAAAACCAGCAATCAATGATCCACTTGATGGCTTATCTAGAAAAAGAAATGACAGTTATTGGAAGGTTTCATTTTCTTGCAAAAGCTATCACTTTAATTTTTCTTGCTATCACTTTAATTTTGACATTTCTTCATTTTTTAATAAAATTGAAGAAATGTCAAAATTAAAGTGATAGCTGATGAATTGAAGAAGTTGTGAGAAAAATTAAATTTTCCACTTATTGATGGTTGATGCATTTATAAAAAAGTATGATAACTTTTTAAAGTACCATAAAGAATGTGCTCAATTTAAATTTGCAAATATGTTTGATATTACAAAAACAGATGGCATCTGGTTGGCACTAAAAATAAAAGATTTTATAAAATACAGATTTAATCACACGGAGAAGTTGTAACTATGCAACAATGCAACTATGCAACAATGCAACTATGCAACAATGATACAAGTTAAAGTGCACCCATCAAAAGTTAACAAAGGAAATACCTCAAGCAGTAGTGGATGTAATTTTCCTTTTTCAAATAGAAATGTAGAATCTGAAATTGCTTCTAATATATCAGAATATCCAGAAACCTCTGATAATGATACTTATGATTGTAAATATGTTGAACTCCCTACTGTTGAACTCCCTGCTAAAAAAAGAAAGATCAAGCAATATTCCACTACAGAAACTGTAGTTTATCTAGTGAAACTGTAGTTTATCTAGTGAAACAAACTAATTTATATTCCTCTAAATTAGCAAAAATTTGTGAACAACTTTCTGACCAAGGTATTGATATCTCTACACCAACTCAATCTGCAATATACAAGGCATCTGTTAAAGAAAATGCAGCAGAATTTTAAACTCTTAAAAATGAAAATTAGGCTTTGCACTTTGATGGTAAGAAAATTGACAAAAAAGAATGCAAGTTATTGTATGAAAAATCACCATGGTGATTTTCGTCTAGCAGCACTAACTCTTAATAATGTAAAAGAGTCAACAATATTTAATGGAATAACTGAGGTGTTAGACTAATACTATTTGTCGGAAAGCGTTAAAGTTATAATCTGTGATACCACAAGTGTCAATACTGAAGTGAGAAATTGAGTTGTTGTATATAGGATGTCAACAACATGCATTGGATTTAATCCCAAAACATTTATTTAACCAAATTTTCAGTGGAAAGATCTCCCAAATATATTGTATGATTTTGTACAAGAAGTCATTGAGAACTTTGCAAAGCTAAGAAATGACTTTCGAAAAAAAAAGTGATGTAAAAATAAAATTTAAAAACATCAAATGGCATGACAGTATGCAGTTTTTATATGAATTAGGAAATGCTTACCTATATTATCAAGAATATAGGTTATTTCCCTTTATTTCTTTTAAAGCAATACCTAATATAAGTAATGCAACTCTAGAGCAATATATGCCTTATATGCTTTTCTGCTACATCCATGAATTAACATGAACTACGTGCTAAAATTTATGAATTGATTTGTAGAGCTCGGTTTGATTTTTGGTTCAGTTACCATTTTTATAAAGATGACAATTATGAAAAATTGGACAATGATTTAAAAAAAAACAAAAAGCAGAAACAATTTTCAGGAAACATTGGAATAGAGACAATGCAGTAATTCAAACACAAAAAAGAAGCAAAAAAGCCATTAAAATTATGCAAGAAATGTTAAAGTACTAAAAAAATCAATTTGAAGTTTATTTAACAAATAAGTGACTGTATTTATTATATTATTCAATTAGTATTTCTGAATTGTGTTTTATATTATATTAAAGTCATAAACAACAATTTATCCAAATTTTATTATGTTGCAATATTTCCAAAACACCTTTCTAATGCTCATATGAGGTGTTATATTAACATGGCCATATAGAGTTGTTATATATATATATATATATATATATATATATATATATATATATATATATATATATATATATATATATATATATATATATATATATATATATATATATATATATATATATATCTACTATAGCATATTTATATGAGCAATCGCTCACTTTTTTTGCTAGCCTAAATTAAGTGAGCGTTTTTAGAAAACGATGTCATACTCACCTAATGTCAAATTAGCCTGCTATATAACTATCTATCTATCTATCTATCTATATATATATATATATATATATATATATATATATATATATATATATATATATATATATATATACATACATACATACATACATACATATATATATATATATATATATATATATATATATATATATATATATATATATATATATATATATATATATACACACATATATATATATATAACCACACACGCACATGCACACACACATATATATATATATAAACACTCACATATATATATATATAAATATATATATATAAATATATATATATATATATAAATATATATATATATATATATATATATATATATATATATATATACATATATATATATATATATATATATATATATATATATATATATATCTACTATAGAATTTTTTTATAGAAATTTGTTTTAAAATTTTTATATTTCTATGTAACTCATAAAAAGTTTATAGTTACTTTGTTTAGTTGTTTTTTTTCTTGTAATTGTTGTCTATATTTTTAGTCTGGTAATCAAGCTGCAGCCCTATCTGTTGCTGAACAGGTTGGTTTATGGTTAGGGTATTAAGAATAATGATAAAAATTCAATTTTGTTCAACCAATTTGAAACTAAATAAATAATTTTATTATAAGTAATTATGATAATAACATTAACATGTAATTTATAATGTTAAAAAAAGTATATTATAAATAATATGTTACTATTGTTAATGTGTATATATTGTTTAATCTTAGTATATCCAAGCGTTACTTGATGTTTATTTTATCTTAGTATATCCAACCATTACTTGATGTTAATTTAATTTTAGTATATCCAAGCATTTGGTAACTTAGCAAAAACTAGCACTACAGTAATTTTACCATCAAATACAAATGATATCTCATCAATGGTAGTGCAGGTTAATATCAAATTTAGTTATTAGAAGTAAAAAATTTTTTAATCGATTTGTGCTTTCTATATCTAATATTTTCTTTTTGGTGTATTTTTTGTAATCTTTAATTTTTACTAAACAATGTTTTTTGTTTTTTTGTATCCAATCTAAATTATATAAGCTGTTAAATTCAAATTTCAGGCAATGTCGGTATACCAGTCAATTAACAACAATTTACCTGGAGGTTCTAAAAAAGCAATTGATGATAGTGATGCTGCTGTTGATGATAAACAATCTTCTTCTGATTTATCTAAAGTTAAAGATTCAATTGGTTTTTTAACACAGAAGGAATTAGAGAAGTTTGCTTCTAAGCAAGATTTTAGCATTTTAACATCTCCGTCGCGAAAAACTGATTATTAATAACAACTTCTTAAGAATTATGTTGTATTATTTACATCGAAAAACAAACTAAAAATAATTTTTAAAAATTATTTTACATGATATGTGCATTGAGTAAATTTATATATTATTTTTGTAAACATAGATACATCTGCTAAAAAAAAAAAAAGGTGTATTAAAACCTTGTAAACAGTTATTCAGTTTTGCTTAGATAGTTTGTTACTGTCACAAAACACTGTTACGTAACGCTTATCTTTTATCATGTTTCTAAAATACTCACCTCTGGTAAAATTTTAGAATTTAATCAAATAATTTTAAATTACATTTTAAGTTTTTTTTCAGGTATCAATAATTTTAATAAATTCATTAAAAATCTTTTTTTTTAGCCATCAATAATTTTAATAAATTACATTTTGTCTTTTTTTTAGCCATCAATAATCTATTGTCTTAAATACCAGTACAATGTAAAAAATTCAACAACAAGAAACAAAGAGCATTTACTATGTCATCAGAAAAAGTAAAAAGCACAGTTGAAAACGCTGAAGGTTTGAATTTCATTTTTTTTAATGTAAAGAAATTTAGTTTTTATAGTAGTTAGATAAATTATTTGTAAGTGATGTTATTATATAAATTTTTTTTTTTCAAAAAAAACACACAAACACAAACACACACACATTTAAGTTTAAGAACACTATTCTATTTCATAACACTCCAGAACATTACACTTTTACCCTCATGTTTAACTGTTCAAATTTGTAACTGTTTTCATCTTTAACTGTTTTCAATTTTAACTGTTCTCATGTTTAACTGTTCTCATGTTTAACTGTTATTATGTTTAACTGTTCTCATGTTTAACTGTTTTTATGTTTAACTGTTTTCATAATTAACTGTTCTCATGTTGAACTGTTCTCTTAACTGTTCTCATGTTTAACTGTTCTCTTAATTGTTCTCATGTTTAACTGTTCTCATGTTTAACTGTTCTCGTGTTTAACTGTTCTCATGTTTAACTGTTCTCTTAACTGTTCTCATGTTTAACTGTTCTCTTAACTGTTCTCGTGTTTAACTGTTCTCATGTTTAACTGTTCTCTTAACTGTTCTCATGTTTAACTGTTCTCTTAACTGTTCTCATGTTTAACTGTTCTCGTGTTTAACTGTTCTCATGTTTAACTGTTCTCTTAACTGTTCTTGTGTTTAACTGTTTTTATGTTTAACTGTTCTCATGTTTAACTGTTCTCATGTTTAACTGTTCTCATATTTAACTGTTCTCTTGTTTAACTGTTTTCATGTTTAACTGTTCTCATGTTTAACTGTTTTCATGTTTAATTGTTCTCATGTTTAATTGTTCTCATTTAACTTAAAGAAAACCTTCATCTGCTTAACTTTCTTTGGTTTAATAATATTTTTTATTCTTAAACTCGGATCCATCAGACAGGTTTTTCTTATGATTTGTTTGGTTTTTTGGGTTATTTGCTAAAATTTTAGTGCTTTAAACTTAATTTTTTTTTTTTCATATTTGAATTTTTTTTATAGTTTTTTGAAGTTGTTTACAACTTTCATCTTTGCCCAATACAAGTTTCAAATGTTTCATTTTGTCTATTCTGTTTACAATGTCTTCCGCTATTGTTGAAATTAATCATTATAAGTTCTTAAGCTTTTCTGTCTTTATAAGTATTTTTTTGTTTTTACAGGATTTTGTCAAGTAACCTATATTTAGTATTAGGTGCCATACTGATTAACAAACATAGTTTTTAATACCTTTTTTTTCCAAAAACTTAGTTGTTATAATTTTATCTATGTAAAGTCTATTGTATAATAAAATGAATATTTGTTAAGTGAAAATGATCAAAGACATCTATTTTTATAACAAATGATTCATAAAGCAGTTTTTTATAATTAATAATCACATATAAGTAATAGTTTTTCTGGCTAATCACTTATACTTCCTAATATATATATATATATATATATATATATATATATATATATATATATATATATATATATATATATATATATATATATATATATATATATATATATTATATATATATATATATATATATATATATATATATATATATATATATATATATATATATATATATATATATATATATATATATATATATATATTGGTTTTGTGTGGTTTAGATGCCTCCATGCTTGGATGGTTTAGATAGGTTTTCATAATGCCATTTTCTTATTTAAGTATGACTTGGAAGAGTTAAAGAAATTTTTTACAATGAATGTCCTTTCTGAAGTTAATCTGTTTTGCTGATTAGGGCTGAGTATTTCTATTATGATATAGGGATGTTAATGTTTGATATCCCTACATTTTTAAATAAGCAGTCTACTACTTCATTACCTGTATTTTATGTATTCATTCTAAATGGGAGAATTAAACCTAATTTCAACATTGTTTGTATATATGTATATTTTTACTGATAAAATAGTTTATAAAAGGTGATGTACATAAAGTACCATATGGTTTTGAAAATAATTATTTTAACATATATTCATTAACCAAATAAATCATTAGGAGATTTCAAGATTTCATGAAAAAACTGTTGTTAATGATTATAAAAAAACTCTTTAGTTATTCTATTATATCTATCATATGCGGTAGTGGTGTAGTGGTAAAATACTCGCTTCATAAGCAAGAGGTTCCGAGTTCGATCCCCACCACGTCCCTGGTAGTACAGCACTCAACTTGTTTCTCCGCGCAGCGGCCTTGTTCCTCAAGGTTCGTGTTTCGGAGTTATAGAGTTGAGAGAGGGTTATAACCACTATTAAGTAGCCTCCTTGTCTGGAGTGGCCTTCTTGGCCTTGAGGAGGTGAATAACAAAAAAAAAAAAAAAAAAAAAAAAAGATTTGATGAAGTTTATAAGTTAAAAGTTACTATAAATTAAAATTTAATGAAATTTAGAATATTTTGATAAGTTTTTATCTAGTTTATTAAATTTTAATTTAAATGACTAACATTTGTTACCATATTTTTAATAATTTTCAAAAGGTTTTAAAACTCATATAGTGGTTAGTTTTGGGCTTTGGTTTAGGTTTGATTTTTCTTGGTTATAAAGAGTTTCATAGAAAAAATGAGTAAAAAGTTAATGGGGAAGCAACTTTATTATGTATTATTATTTATTTTGTACTTTATTATAAATGTTTTAAATTTAGGAAGTAAAAAGAGTGAACCTAGTAAGTTATCAATCTCCTTAAAAGCTGGAGATAAAAGAAGTTGTGGCAGAGTGGACGAGAAAAAAACACTTTGTATCAACATTGGAAAAAAGAAATCTGATTCATCTGAAGAAATTTCAAAGAAGGTAACAATGGTATTTATGTACCATATACTGCATAGGTATTATATTGGTATATAGGTATTGGTGCCATATATGATTTATGTGCCTTCACTAAGATTTTTATTCCATTTGTGTATTACTTGTGTATATTTTTAAATGTACATGTTTGTACTGCTAATACAAGCTTAAACATTATATTTATAAGTTTTTATTAAAGTTTTTTTAAATTAAGAAACACTTCTTTGAGAAGTTTTTATTCTTATATGTACTGTATAAGCACAAGAGTATGTTAAAGAGATCAAAAAAAAAAAAAAATTTATTGCTTTTTTTTCATAATTTATAAAATTGATTTATGCAATTCTGCATGGTTATTGTTTTTTACAAATGATAACTATTCTGTTCAAATGTTTGCTTTTAAAATTAACAAAACTTTAAAATGTTCATCACACTTTTATTTCTTATTTGCTAATGAGGGATGATAATGCGGTGAATTGATTCTATTTTTTTTTTTTTTTTTTTTGCTTTCTCAATGTATATTCCAAGTGTTATTTTTTAAATATCAATAAATTAATTAAATTGTATAATGCATTGTGAACATTTTACAAAAAGATCAACATTGTTGAGTAATTTATAGTTTATTCTAGACTTCTTAAAATCCTCATAACATCTCATGAGAGATTCTAGTCATTGACATCTCATGAGAGATTCTAGTCATTGACATCTCATGAGAGATTCTAGTCATTGACATCTCATGAGAGATTCTAGTCATTGATATCTCATGAGAGATTTTAGTCATTGACATCTCATGAGAGATCCTAGTCATTGACATCTCATGAGAGATCCTAGTCATTGACATCTCATGAGAGATTCTAGTCATTAACATCTCATGAGAGATTCTAATCATTGACATTACTTGATAGATTTTAAGAGTCATCTTCACACCAAGTGCAGAGTTATAATTTAAAATATTTCAGCTTGAAAACTTGAACTTTTTTCTTGGACTTAGAAGTCTGATTTTTTTAAAACTTCTGGGGGTTCTGCGGATTTGGTTAATTTATCCTATATAAATTATATAATATTATATACTATATAAATTATCATTGTTTTTGCCCCTCAGAGTTTTGACCGATTTTTCCTTAACTTTATTTATTTTATACATTTTGTACATTATTAAATAATTTAATTTGTGGTCTGTTTTACTGAGTGGTAAGATATTGTTATTAAAAAAGTTATTTGAAACTACATTCAGGTTAATTTGTTAATAAGATATTAGAGGCTTATTCAAGCCTCTAATATCTTATTAACTTATTAACTCTTTTGTGTTGCAGTAGATATCAGATATCTACTGCAACACAAAAGAGTGGCAGTTAAATACCGCCAATAACATTAATTAAAAGTTTTTAAATTAAAAGTTCCTACATAGTGTCACACATTATGTATCTGTAAAGCTCTGATAAATTAGTGTTATAGGTTAAAAAAGAATATAAGTAATTGTTGTAACACTTTTTTTTTAATGCTGCAAAGTGGTGTTGCAATTTGAAACTATTTTGAGTATATTTAAAAAGTATAAAAGCTTGTTTTGTTTGTAAAAAAAAATTGTTTCAAAATCATTTTGTTTTGAATTTTAACTAATTCAAAACAAAATTCGAACTGTAATGGTTACGGCATATTTATATCTAAAACTGAAGATTGTAAATTAAGTTTTCTCTTCTAAATGGCTTACAATTGCACTGCTCACAATGCAAGCAATATGAAATTATACAATTTAATGACTGTTTTTTTATTATGTAACTTTAAACATGTAATTTAAAAATAGTGAGTATTTATTTGACCAGGCAAACAAATAACATTTAAAGGTATTTGTCTTACATATTTAAATTTAATTAGCATAATGATATGTTAGTGTTGATAGCAGAATGCATTGCAAAGTCTGAAGGGGGGAGTTCATCTCTTTTTCTTTTTTATTACTTTATACATGTTTTATTTTAAAATATTTTAATTTTTTTATTATTAAAACATTACATTTTTATTGAATTTAGACAAAGTCTAATAATGAATGTGCACTCAAAGATCTAAAAGGAAGGGCTGCTGAAGCGTTTAACAATGAGTCAGATGTGAGAAAATTTAAATTAGTTGTTTATAAGTGTCATTTTATTATCCTAATTTTTAAATTGCAGTTTTATATATTTTATATTTGTTGATTATTTTTTGTTGTTATTTTTTTTATTAGATTTGATTTTTTTTTGTGTGATGTTTTTATTGTTTATATTCTTGTTATTTTTTTAGTCAGAAGAAGAAGAAATGCCCCTTGAATGTCGCATGAAAATGAGGAACATGGGCAGGTATAATTAATTGAAATTGGTTTTTACAATAAATAATGTTGCACAAATTAAAAAATTTTCACTTTATGCATTTTTTATTTGATGTTATTAATTAAAAAATTTAATTTAATTTTTTGATTTTTAGGGATACTATCACCTCTGCAGGACCAAATTCATTTAATAAAGGAAAAGAAGGATTTTCACATAATTCTTTTAAAAAGTTTGAGCTTTCTATGAAGCCTAGAAATAACAAAGAATCAAAACACATTACATAAACAGATAAATGTTTGAGAAAAGAGTTATTTATTATTTTTTGACAGTTTCTATGATGAATGGATACTCATAGCAAATTTTTTTTACCTATGCATAGCTAACTGGAATGCTATCATTGCAGAAATGAAAGTTAAAAATGAGAGCTTGCATCGCTTTTAAATTTTTATAAAGTTGTACTTGAAATATTAAAAATGTGATTAGTTCGTTTTTATTTTAATAAACCTTAAAAAAGTTGTAGTTTGTGAGGTGGAAGAGGTTGATACTTTAGTTATTTTTTGGTAAAAAAAATAATTTAAAATGCTCTGGTTAATTCATAGACAATTATTCCTTGATACTTTGACAATTTTATTAAGTTTCTTACATTAATGATTATATTTTTTTAAAATTATATTTCATGTCTACCAAAAAACTTTACAAAAAATTAAACAAATTATTGTTTTTCAAAACTTTTATTTTTACTTTATACTTATTTTTTTATTTTATTTTTTTGCAAAATATTTTACGCTTAAAAAAATTGATAACCAATTAAACATAATAAGTTTGTAGCAGTATTTATTTTATAAACAGAGATAAACAATTGTTGTATTTAAATGAATATAAATTTATTTAAATAAAACAAAATGGTTTCTTATATTTAGTTGGTTATTTTAAAATGAGAACAAAAACAAAAAATATTGTTTATTTTGCTGTGTAGACAATTTGTGATAAAGTAAACACCTTAACCTAATTAAATTTTTAATTGTCTTATTTTGATGCATTTTTTGTATAAATAATTTTTAGAAGTTTATTTATTAAATATGTAGGGTTGTTTTAAAAATTTTGAAAATAAGTAAAATGCTAAAAATCTAAAAAGTTTTGTATTTAGAAAGTTATATTTAGATTAAATAATTCCAAGATTTTTTTTCTCGCTTATCTCAATTTATTTTTATTTTATAGTAGTAAAGTAAAATGTTTTTGCAGCGCAAGAAATGTTGCAATGTCACAGTACGTTGCAAGCAAAGAGAATCTGAGGTAGAACTAAGTTTAATAAAGTTCTAATTTTTTAGCTTTTTGACATTTATATTTGAAGTGCTCATAAAAATAATTTCGAATCTAAAAAAATCAAACCCTCTAGATATAAAAGAAGTATATTTAAACTCACTTCCTTTAAATTAATTACTATTTATTTGCTATCAAATCTAAATTAAAAAAAAAAAAAAATTCAAAAAATATTTTTTACTAATTTTTTTTTAGGAACATAAGTGTATATACATTTTTGATTAAATTGTTTTTTTTTACCCTCTAATAAATCATTTCTAATTTACTTTTTAACTTCAGACAAATTCAGGTTATTTCATCCTACAAAAGAGGGTTTTAAAAGCAATTATTATTTGCATTTGCTAAAACACCCAATAATTGCTTCTTATTACAATTTTACTGTGATTTTTGACCACTATAAATATTTGTTTTGCACAACCTTGCCCTGAACAATATTTCAATATGTTTTATATATTTATTTTTATTTAGATATTTCAAACTACTTTTTTAAATAATTTTTATTTAAAATTTCAAACTGTTTTTTTAAATAATTTTTATTTAAAATTTCAAACTGTTTTTTTAAATAGTTTTTTATTTACTTTTAAATTTCAAACTACTTTTGAAATAGTTTTGAAATAGTTTTTAGATATTAAGAACTTTATTCTTAACAACCCTCACCTACAATTAAGTAGGTGAGAGTAGATTAACAATTAGGTAGGTAACAGTTTGTTAAAAAAAAGCATGCTATAAGCATAATAGTCTTATTAAGCATAATGAAACATAATAAACATAAAAGAGTTTTACTCAGCAAATGAAAAAGTTCATTTTGTTAGATTAGACATTATGCATATATACATATATTATATACATTTGTATTAACGTTATATTCATATACATTATACACACACACACACACACACACACACACACACACACACACACACACACACACACACACACACACACACACACACACACACACACACACACACATATATATATATATATATATATATATATATATATATATATATATATATATATAAATATATATATATGTATATATATATATATATATATATATATATATATATATATGTATATATATATATATATATATATATATATATATATATATATATATATATATATATATATATATATATATATATATATATATATATATATATATATATATATATATATATATATATATATAGATATATAGATATATACATATATAGATAGATAGATAGATATATTAGGGTGATTCAGATGGTAATAGAAAAAAAAAGTCACAAAAAAAATTCTCCTCAAGGTTGCCTGTGATCCTTTATCACCTAGAATCATGTGTACCAAATATTAGACTAAAAGAAGTAATTTTAGGGATTGCCATGTTTTATAAGATGAATTAACCATTGGTAAAAATTTTTGATTCTCTTAAATTTTGCAAATTTGTTTTTTCATTATTTATTTTAAAACCAATCATAGAACCAACTGGTTCATATTATAAAATTAAGCAAAAAGCATAGAGCCAGATTAACTGTCTATCAACACAATACCAATTTTTGTTTTATGCATGAAAATATAAAAGTTGATATCATCCAAAGGTAAATAGTAATTATTTTCTTTAAAAATATAGGTTTTAATAATTGCTAAAAAATAAAATGGTAATTATATTGCAAGAATATTAATTATATTATTTTACTAAAAATGAATAGAAATTTTAGATAGTATGAATTATATATTTTTAGTCTAGTAGGCATAATCTACAATTCTTTTTCTACAATACATTACAAATTAAAATTGCATGTTATACATATTCACTCATCACTAAAAAACATGTCTGTTCAATTTAGAAATCGATAATATGGCTTCTGCTGAGGTGTGGCTTAAAGGAAGTCTGGCAGTCGACACAAACTCTGTCGACTGCCAGTCTTCCTTCAAGAGGGGATGTTCTTCGGAAGTTGCTCTTCCATCATATAGAAGAGAAACAAGTAGTGAAAAAAAGTATTTGGGCAACAATTGCAGCAGTTCTTGTTATATGGGAGAGAGGAAGAATTCCAACTCAAAGAATTGACAATGAGGAAAGAGAGTTAATAAAACTTTATAACAAATATCTGCTGCTGAAAAAACACAGAGGATTAAAATTGGACAGTTATCAAATGATAGGAATTTTCCAGGCTGACCTTGAAAAACTCTTTGATATATCAACCAAGAATGCATCAGAAGTTATGAAAAACAATGAAAATAAAACATTTTTATGTCAGCAGCAAGAAGATCGATTAAGTTGTAGTATGGCAGGAATTGATCGGAATTTAACAGCTAGGGAGGCACGGAAACAAGTCAGAGAAACTAAAATGGAATTGAAGTGTCAAAGCAGTAGAGCGGAACTGAAGGAAAAAACAGAA